GATTTTTTTTAAATCAAAATTTTTGTGTACAACATTTTTTTTCGCTCAAAATGCAAATATGCAGTTAAATTCAAATGGGAAGTTTTTATCAAAAATATGTTCGAATGGCATCATTAATTCCGAAAAAGTATTCGAATTAGAGATGGGCGGGACCGACGGTACTGATTTAAAAATCGCCGGGATAGGCGGTATCGGGAAGGTATTTAGAAATTTTGCGGGCGGGACGAGACCAAAATCATTTCCCGACACTCTCGATTAAACCCGCAAATTAATTTGAAAGACATGTGAAGTTTTTTTAGTGATAGATATCGGTGCTCACGTGATCCGCAGTATAATTCAGAAAAACATCGAGATGGGCGGTTTCGGGACTTAAATATTGAATTTCGAAGTGGGCGGCATCGGGATTGAATATTTAGTCGCGTGCCTATCTCTAATTCGAATGTCAGCTGGCAATTTAAGGAGTGGGGATTTTCCAAAAAATATGCCCCACGGGATTTTATTATACCATTGGAACGATTCTTAATCAACGGGAAATAAAAGAGTCATCTGGTACATCTTAAGATCCGAGGGGCCATAAAAAGCTTTTCTGCACAGACCCTCTTGATTCAAATGTCGCTAGAGAAGTAAAAGGCCACAAAAACGGATTTTTTGCGAAAATCTTGTTAACGCTCATTAAAAAAAAAGTAGTTAGCTTAGGAAATTGCATACAAAAAATATTAAGTCACTTTTTATTTAGGGTTTTTATTTTTTTTTTAGTTTTTTGATTTCTAAAGATTCTGCGGTACAAAACGCTGCAGTTATATATATACTTTCAGAGAAATACACAAATTTGCTGAAGCGAAATTTTGACAAAAATGTCGCTTACACCTTTTTGTCGGTAAGGGCTCGATATATTGTTCATCCAAAAACCACGTAGGATATAATTTTAAAATAATTTAGGAGTTTTCCTTAAACTGGAAAACACCTTGACAACTTCGAAAAACTCAAAACTTTTATTGAGGTGTCAGGATTTGTATGAAATGAAACAAAAAAATTCGTTTGCTCGATAAAAAAAGACCGGTTTATTCGATATTCGAAAAATCAAAATTTCAAAAATCGCCTATAGATATCCGATATCAACAAAAAAAAAACATTAACCGAGCCAATTGCCCTAGTAGTTACATAAATATGTATGTATAAATAATTTGCCTAGTTTTTAAATACGGCTAACATATTTTCGTAACTGACTTGAAAAATTTACGCGTACGATCACGCTTACACCAAATTGTTTGTATGCGTTTGTATTTATGCCCCAGTAAAACAAAAAAAAAATAAAACACAAAACACAAATATGCTCAGGTGTCGAAAAAATATTTTCCCACACTTCCTAGCGTAAAATTGAAGCAAAACATTCGAAATGAAAATGTTTTCTAAGCTTTTCTTGTATATAAAGCTGCTTGGAGCATTTGATTCAACACTTTAAGCTTAAAGATAAATAAAACGCGAAGAAAGACATAAAATAGATAATGAAAAAGTGCAGAGAAAACATAATATGGGGCAAAATTTGGTATCTATGTGTACTTAAATACTTGGGTGCGAATAAAAAAAAAAAAATACGAAATATATAAACAATGTTAGAAATGTGTATAAAATAGATTTTGGCTTCGATTTAACACTTCACTTGATTTGCCTGCATTTTATTCTCTTATTTGTAATTTAAGCGTGTTTACTTAACTATATTTTTCATGTTTTTTTTCACACACTATCTATCCTACTGTCACTTTGAATTTTCAATTCCATTGAGTGGCATGAGTTTGTACAATCGCGTCGCGCGTAAGGTGTCCCCAAAGTCTGCTGCTGGTGTCTCCGCTGTTGCTGACTTTACAGCAGCAATGTCCCCAATGGACCAGTTGGTTACAATTTGTACATACACTTGCGGTCAGCTGATTAAGTCAAGTGACATTTTGACTAGGTTTGGCTATTTTTCTTTTGTTTATTTAGTGTTTATATTTTTTTATAAAAGTTTTAGCACTTTATCTAACCAGCGCCATATAAATCCACATTTCAAACTTCGTACAAAAATTATGAAAATTCAACAAACCTTAACATTTGCACCAAAAAAATTTTTTTCACTTTTTGTTTTGAATTATTTTATTTTGGAATGCAGTTTTTTAGCTCATTATATTTTTTAAATAATTTTTTTTTTTGCTGGTGGTGCTAGGCATTTTCTTCCATACAAACGAAACTGTCAAGCATACTTTATATGGAAGAAAATTCACAACACCGTCAGCGAAAAAAAATATTAAAAATTAACGCGATTTTCTAACGGTTTGAAATTTGCACTTTATACCATACCCAAATTTATGCATACCCAAAATTTTTCTAAAAATTTTAAATAAAAAGTTTAAAATTTTCGTGTGCAAATATTAAAGTTTGTTGAATTTTCATAACTTTGGTTCGAAGTTTGAAATGTGGATTTATGTGGGGCAGGTTAGGTAAGTGCTAGAATTTTATTAAAAACAAAAACAAAAAATAAACAAAATAAAAATAGCCATACCTAGTCAAAATGTCGCTTGACTTAATCAGCTGACCACAAGGGTACATACATACATACATACGTAGGTATGTACGAACGCATATGGATAGCATCCGAAATGTCTACAGGGCCAAATCAACTCTTAAAGCATTCACGTACTTGTTGTTGTTGTTGTTGTTACGAGCACCGAAAGAGAAGTTATGAAAATGACTGATGCTGTTGTAAAAATATTTATTTTTCAAGTTAAGAATTTTAAGTTGGCTGTGTTGTTGTCGCAATGACTTACTGCTGATATCCGCCGATGTTACGTTGTTGTGGAAACACAAACGTGCCAGCCACACTAAATAAGCGTTCAACTCTAAGAATAACACACAGCGATATAAATATTGTTATTTTTCGTTTTACGTTTTCATTTTATGTATGTATGTGTATCTCTAAGATACACATCAGATTCGATGGTTGGTGCACATGTCGCCAATGCGAATGACTACGCCGCTTACCTTTAGGTAGAAATATGTATGTACATACATATATCTAGCGGCGGAGTATACCATCCGATCGATTGAGATCGCCACATTATAAAATGCAAACTCATTTCGAAAAGTGTCAAGTGTGACGAGGCGTACAAAGGGCAAAAACAAACATACTGTTGAAGGCAGAAATCAATAAAGTATGTAGTTAGATGTGTACTATGGAGCGTAGGGGGATTTTTATGCTATGAGTGTAAAGTCCACAGTGAAAACATATCTATCTATGCACACCTAACACCGCTCCTTCACCCACTTCCGGCGACAAGTGCGCGCGCACTTTGCACGTCCACCGCGCCGCGTCGCCCTGATTTGAATGCTGTGACATGATTTGACGCTTTATCAAATTCACTAACACGCCACCACCACACATGCAAAAACATACAAACGTAAATACCCACAGGCGCACATACTCTTCTATATATATCCACTTAGACATTATATACATACATACATACATATATAAAGTGTAACTGCTTATGATTCTTAACCAAACACACTTATGCGCGTACATTGCAGATAATCCTGATGATAGCGCCTTAGTGTAGGCTGCACTTAATCTACTTTTTGATTTTTTTTCTTAACCATAAATTTTTCCCCCTCTTACAAATTTTATATAATTTTTTTTTTTGTATTTCTTCTCCTCCTCTTTAGACACTTCGGCGCGAAATGTTCAAAATGCTGTCGTGGCATATCCGCCTCGGATTGGGTACGACGCGCCCGCGATCTCGTCTTCCATTTGGCGTGTTTCGCGTGCGATCAATGCGGACGACAACTCTCCACCGGCGAACAATTTGCTCTGATCGATGATCGGGTGCTGTGTAAGGCGCATTACCTGGAAACGGTCGAGGGTGGCACCACATCAAGTGACGGTAAGTGGTTTTCGTTTTTTGGGGTTAGTTGCTAGGAGGTCAAGGAAGATACTTGTAATGTAGTTTAACTCTAGGAAGACTGAAAAATCGACATAACTTGAGAGGAGGACAGGCGTCATTTGACAAACAAAAAAAAACTTATAATTTGAATCTAAAATAGTTTATTCATTTAAACATATTTAATTTTCATTTTCGTATTCTGGTTTTAGCAAAAAACAAGCCCGCTTATCAAAATCTGCGCATTAACACTAGATAGCCTGTATCATCGGCAGCCTTGAAGTTATAATTTTTAATTAAAAATGTTGATTACTTCTAAAAACAACATAAAATTTAAATTTTAATTTTATTTTCTTATTTAATTAACAAACAAAATTTAGTATACAGTGGCGGTCACAAATGGATGTTTCGTTTTTAACATTTACAATGTTTTTCAAGCAAAATTTTTATTTTTTATTTTTATTTTTTTAAACATGGTTCATGCTTTACCAAAAACTGTATAAATCACACTTTCAAACTTTATACAGAATGTTTAGAAATTTTTTGGATATGCAGTTAAAAAGCTTATAAAATTCTAGTAAAAGATGTGCAAGTTTTGAGCGGCTAAAAAAATCGCATTGGTTTTTAATAACTTTTTTTTTTGTTGACTGCGTTTTGCACTTTTTTCCATATAAATCTGAATTTCTTATGGAGAACATGCGCAAGACCGTTTGCAAAAAATAAAAATAAAAAAGGCAACGTCAGTTTTCCTAAATTTCGCTATTTATATGAAAAAAAAACTAAAAAAAATCTAAAAATTCTGTTTAAAAAGCTCGAAATTTAGATAAAAACTTGTGGAATTTTTCTAAATTCTGTATAAAGTTTGAAAGTGTAATTTATATCGTTTTTGTTAAAGCATGCATATTGTAAATATTAAAAACGAAACACCATTCATCCATTTTTGACCGCCACTGTACATAAATGTTTGCCATTAGAGTCAAATGACCCCTAACCGTCTTTTTAGCTAGTTGCAGTATTTATTTAAATTTGAAAAGAGTCAACAAAATAAGATAAGATTGCTTTTAAATTAAATATTATGAACTTTTAATAAAAATATGGGTCAAAGGATCCCTGTCCGTCCTTCTAGAGGTAAGGAATTCAACTTATCTAGTTTTCTATGAAGGGTTGGTCTCTCAGATTCAAGAAATTCTCTTAGATTAAGCGGCGGTACCTCATATGTCGGCTTGTTGACATCACGCGTGGGAGTCGAGCGGCGAATAAGCTGGCCTTCTGTTGTGATTGCACCTTTCGAAATTGAGCTTTCCTTGCATTCCTTATGTGTGCTTATCATGGCTGCATCAGTATAGAGGTCCAAGTCATATGTATGTCCTAAGCATTGGAAGCATGCCCAATGCTGAAAACAACCATGATTCTAGTCCGGGCAAAATCTATCAAAAATTCCTTTCTGTCCTATCCCGGGGCTCGGCAAAACGGAAGGCAGCTCTCTTTGGTATGTTTACAGCGCTCATAGAAGAAATCTTTGGACTCCTCGATCCTTATCTTCTGTCGGAGCGTTGCGCAAATCAGCGAGATCTTATAGCATCAGCTTTGATGCGGATTGTAGCGAGACGCTCGTCTGCTGTGGGAATGACAGTATTCGGCGTCGAAGTCTCTATTTCAGTACAATTCGAACACCAAATTTACACAGAAACGGCGTGAGTATCCTCTTAGCCGCTACGTAGATTTCTCTGAAATACATATACCTTACGGAGGTCGCTAACTAGTACTTCTTCGTCGATCTATAATGAACAGGCAACTTGCCAATGCAGACTACAGCAAGTCATATAACGATTAGTGAACGGACTTAGTTTAAGAAAAGACAAGGGTTCGCACAGAGCAGAGCACATCGGCACAATCATATGTACATTAGGCTGCATCACGCCCCATACAAAAAAAATTGGTACTGTGTTTCCATTAGAATTATAAAATCTACTATATTTTAAGGCTTCCACCAAAATATTTCGGAAAAATATTACGATTTACGCGAGCTGGACTGATTTGAAAATACCTCCGAAATTGGAGTTATTTTTAAGAATAGATAAAAATAGTTTCTTAAAGATTTTTTTGAAAAAAAAATCCCATCAATTGAAAAAATAGTTTAAGCTTAAAAAATCTGAATAAAAATATTTAAAAAAATGTAAAAAAAATTTCAACGCAATCATAATAATGAGATTTTTGATGCTGTTTTTAAACTTTTTTCAAAGATTGGTATAAGAAAAACTTGAATAACGGGACCAAAACTATTTCGATTTAGACTTGTGAGATATTATTGGAAAGGTATTTTTTCGCATTTTTTATTTCTTTGCTAATAAACTCATTAAAGAGAAAGATAGGATGAACGAGTGTCATTCCAAGTTGAATTCAGATGTGTTGGTATTTGAAAACAAAAGTTGGGACGTTAATGAGTTGATTTTTATAAAAGAGTTCTTTAAGAAACTATTTTTATTAATAAAAAAAACTTAATTTTTGGAGGAATTTTCAAATCGGTCCAGTTCACGTTAATCTTAATTTATTTTTCCGAAATGTTTTGGTGGACGTCTTCAAATATACATATGGTGATTTCGTTTCTACTAAAAAATGTAGCCTGTGCCTTCTCTCTTTTCGTGTTTGATTCTAAATTAGAGGCAAACGAAGGGAAAATTTTGTGTTCGTTTGTTAAAATGTCACACTCTTTTTTTAGGCAAAAAGGGTACATTCTTTGTCCTTTGAAGCTTTGTAAGGGGAGATGGTTGCCCTGAAAATCAGATGGTTGCTTAAAACGACAATATAATGAAATGCGCGAGCTAGACAAGGCCAAAAAAGCAAAAACATGCCATTCTACAGGGTTGAGTGTAACACCAAACAGATTTTGCACCGGTGTAGTGCAACATTTTTTGAAAGAAACAAACCGCAACTTTTTTTGGTGATGCAGTCTAATGTACATATGTATATACTTATCTTTTTGCAAAAGCGGCTATACATACACTCATACGCACAAGAATTTAACACTTAAAAATCAAACGAAAACGAAACAATTCAAAAATCGCAAACGGTAGCCGTGACGATTTGGATGTGAATGCGTTGAATAGCAACTGCCACCGGATGGGTAAAAACTGGCAGCAGACTGAAAACATGTACGAGCTGGTAATTGGGTTTAGGTTGGTGGGTGGCAGTGGCTTTTGTTGCGGCATAAAAACATTGGAACATTTCAGCCATGTTGTACATACAAACAGAACAGCAACATCAGAGGCTAACATCAATATTTAGGATGCAGAGAGCTTGACTGTAGCGTACATATGTACATACATATGTAGGAGAGTAATGTCCTTACATGGCCAACATGTGTAGAAAGATGTGGATGTAGCTAGATTGTAGAAGTACATCGTTATAGAAAAGCATTTGTACCGTACGTAATATTTATACATATATGTATTAACGCTCGTGTGTACTATGTAAGTTGTTGGTCTCATTTCTTCGGTTGGCTGTAAAAGCAGTGTCAAAACAACGCATGACATGACAAATGTGACGTCACAAACAAGCGTACATATGTACCTACAAAGAGTTTTTAGTACTCAAATGCATTTTTATGTGTACATACATACATACATATGTACATGTGTATAAGTTCTGTATGTTCTATGAAACAGCAGCCCATCAACTAGCCATGGCTTTTGCACTTAAATACTGTAAAAGCAACATGGGCTCGGTAGTGCTTAAGTATTCTGGCCAAAAAGGCAACGTACACACATACATATGTTTATATTTATGTACTATGCATGTGTGCGTCCTCTCCACCTTAACGCACTTTTGCGTTTGCGCGCTATTCACTTTTAAGCCCTAAATCGCATGCAAGTGCATGGCTTTTAGACAAGCACAAACAAAAGCAACATTCATCAGAAGAACAAAAAAAAAATACTTTTGCTGGAGCCAGCCACTGACTTACATCTGTGCAAAGTGCTGGACAGTTTATGTCATCTTTGTAGGCATTCGGTCATGTTTTGTACACTTTCCGGCCATACAAAACTTTTACATGCATTTATGTATGTACATATGTATGTGCAATCCTACTTAATAGCGCAGCTTATCGTCCTGTGCCACAAGCGTTTAGCATATTTGTGTACAGTTGCTTGTAATAGGCCCACATTGAGGTTTACAAAAGTCTGAAAGTGTTGGCTTTATGTCACTTGTTTCGGTGTCATTTTGATTGTAAGTTTGATGGCTATGTGATCATTTTGGGCTTAAACGCTTAATGCTACTTTCGGGTGATTATTTTCTCTGAGGACTCTAAAATGCATATCTAGTGCTTAGTGCTTAGAATGAGTTGAAATTATTATTCAAACAATTGTTTCGTAAAAAAAAAATTGACTACTTTGTTTTGAGAAATTCTCGGTCAATAGAGCCATAACTGACCGCGCTGTGTGGCATCTTCAAATCCAGGCCAGAAGGGTATTGGCGTCATAGCGCTAAGCATTGACGGTTACGGTCACTTGCGGCTGCTCACTACCCCAGGTTTGGCAATTTTGCTTAGCCTCCTTTCAGACACGTCAAGACCTGCCTTCAAGTCTGCTTGTTCGCAGCCGAAGGAGAGGGTAAGAGTGCAGATAACTCCGTACCGTAAAGTCATTTCAAGTTTTATTTTCTCTTTTGATCTATTCGGTCTGGTTTGCCTGCGGTTCATCCAAAATAGATTTTCATGGAGATCATGTGAGGTCTTTTCTTACATAAAAATTTGTAAGAAATGAAAACATGCCAGAAACAGGTACTATTTCGACTGATTGGAGTTTCAATGTAGCGACCTTGCTTTACTTCGTGGTCCGTCTTTGGTAACCTGAGTAGAAACTGAACACAGACTAATGGCAATGACAAAATGCTTGGCAATTTCCCCAATAGACACAAATACTTAGCTTCATACTGGTGTCATGTTTGTCTGCCTTCTGGGGTTCAACCGCCGTCTGTATACCACTGCAGAGTGCTAGCTCGGATATATCCATCTCTATTCTAGGTTGCTTTTCCATGGCTATATCATCTCTGTAGACGAGGACTAGTGGAAGCTGAAATCCTCGCTTTTCCATTATCCAAGACGAAGTTTAATATAGGAAGACCTGTGTGGTCTGCTATTTGGCGAGATGTAGCGGCTCTAGATCGAGAATTATCTCCAGTGCTTTCGTCAGTTTTTTGAAGTTTTCTGAGAGAATATCCATCTCAGGATCTTTGGACTACATCTCCAGAACTTACCAGCTGCTTGCTTCTATTCGTAGCCGTGGACGTGGCCGCGTGAATATATGTAAGTCCTCCACAAAAGTTTATTGTCCAGAAGCAGACCAAGACACTTTACTTCGCTGGCGACATTGGACCTCACACAGAAGTTATGTTCCCCAAACAAGGAACGAGGACGATGGTTATCTTAGAGGAGTATTAAGGCCCACTAATAACATAGTAAATATAAAAAAAAAATGCAAGGGAGGGTTAGATTTTTTTTCAATTATAGGAACTAGTGACTGCCATCTGAGTAGTGGCCTTTTTGCTATCAACTTTAAAATGACTTTTAATTGCAAGCGTATTTAGGGCTCCTTAACCCGCCATCTGACAAGTGCCCGAAATAAACCACAGCATCGTAATTTTCTTAGTGCCTGTTCTAACATCAGTACAGTTGAAAGCGGTTTCTAAGTGGCTTTAATAAAAAAAAAACGTGACATATTTTTATTGCTAATCATTACCTTAATTTTTAAAAATATTAAAGAAATTTTAGTGAAAGTCGTGGTACTTGAGAGTAAAAGGCTTTATTTCAATAGGGTTTGTGACACCCCACCTTTCGCAACTTGTTACGAAAATTCAACTGCCGGATGGCTCCACCAGCTGGATAAGTATTTAGCCTAATAAAGCAGACTTTCACAAAACTTCGCGACTGCTAAAAACTTAAATGAAATCCAAACGCAGCTAGACAGAAAATAAGTTAGAAATAAGTTTAAGTCACCTTTATTAAATACTTGCAATCAAATCATAACATTACATACTAACAATACTATTTTATTGCTTATCTCTTTCTTTTACCGTTAATCCGCACTCGGTCACTACACTTTTCGGCATTGGCGCTGACGCTGTTGATAACTCTATCGATTACCTTGATTATAAAACGTACTGGCGCTACGTTCTACTACACCTACACAATATCATCTCTCCCCCGCCCCCCCACCGATGCACCCAACCACAACAAATCAGATGGCTGTGATGGTGATGGTTATCACAAAAGTAAAACGAAACGTGTGCGTACCACCTTCACCGAGGAACAGTTACAGGTGCTGCAAGCCAACTTTCAGATCGACAGCAATCCGGATGGGCAGGATTTGGAGCGCATCGCATCGGTGACCGGTCTTAGTAAGCGTGTAACGCAAGTTTGGTTTCAAAATTCGAGAGCGCGACAAAAAAAACATATTCATGCTGGTAAGAATAAAAGTAAGTAGTTGTTGTAGTTGTAGTTGTAGTCATAGTTGCTGCATAAATAAATATTTAGTATGGGTGTTGTTTGCTTAGATGAGAATTGTGCGCATGCGCCTATGCAAAGCACTTAGCCCCATAGCTTAGCTAACAGCCGGTTTTATGATTATAAGTGCATTGAATACGAGCCGGTGTACATTTGTATGTACATACCTACATACATATTTGAGCACTTATTGCGCATATTTTTTGGTAGTTATTACATTTCAAGTAGTAGCTCGCTCCGAAATTTTTTTCACTTTTTCTGCCTAATATGCAAATACTAATCTGCATACCTATACATGCATGCGCCTAAATGTAATAGAAGATAGACTCTACTGAATGCAGCCAAGAACCCTGTAGGAAATTAGAGGCAGCAGCCAATTTCCGTTGGGAGTTTTGGTACAGCCTGTAATAAGAGCAGACCTACCACCCCAATTCGCACTTCCGAACTGAATCGTTGCTATGGAAACTTTCTAGTATACAGAAAAAAAAAACAAAGAGAATTCCATATACTGCTTATTGATTTTATGTGAAAATTCTTATAGATTTTATTAATACGTATGTCTTTTTGAGGAAAAACGATATAGATATCTATTTTATTAGTTAGTTTTTTCTCTGTGTATACACCTGAATTTCTTCCCTAGCTGCCAATTAATAACTGTATTTCACTTATTGTGAATTTCTCTACTGGGTAGCTATTTAGTGTCACCATGTGCCTACATTCACCATACTTTCCGCGAGAATTAGAAACCCAAATTAACTTTTAGGTTGCCGCTCGTAATGGTATGGCGCCAGGTTTATTGTCCATTGGCGATTGGCTATATTGGAATATGTGAAAATCTTCGCTTTCTCATGCTGCGTCTTAGGCGGTTTTGTATGTATAATCCACTGAATATTTTACAAAATTAAGTGGAACGGTTGGATGACAGCGGCCTACTTGGCACCGCAAATGATACAACCTTGTTAAGGCGCCACGGGAAGCTATTAAAAAATAGTAGTAGCAAGAATTGTAGAAATTTAAAACTATTGACTCCTTTTTCTACAAAAAAAAAATTGAATATTGGGAGAAGATTCGCTTAAAGATCTATAATTTTGAAAGAGTACTTTTATGCGATCTAAAAGTTCATATACCAGCCAGCAAAAAATCCGAAAACCGATCCGAAAAAGGACAAAAAGTGGATATAGTGCGGATTTTTGTCCGTTTACGGATTCCATTTCCGGATACTTTGACGATCCGTTTTCCCGCTAAAATGTGCGGGACTTATATACAGACAACAGTGTGCAAGTGCAAAGTGTCTAAAAATTTTTGTTTTAGAATTTGTTTGCCAAAGTTTTTGCTGTTCCTGAAATTCCCCACAAACATTCCCCAATACCCCACGTAAACTGAAATTCCACGCAAATCGTGGAATTCCCCACGAGTTAGCTTCCCTGCTGTCTTTCAAAGCATGTTGAACGTATTACCTTTTAGGCTTACGCTAAGTCTAAAATACCCTTGTACTACATTAGATAAAATTCACAAACATGCTATTAACTATCTTAATTTTTATTCATTTACAGTGCGTGAACCCGAAGGAAGCTCATTTGCCCGCCACATTAACCTGCAGTTAACGTATTCATTTCAGAATAACGCCCAAAATCCTATGCACATGAACGGCAATTCGAAGGGATTATATCCGTCACATGGTGAGTTACTGAAAAGCAAATTTAATAAAATGACTAAAAGTGTGTATAATCGCATATTATTAAATTATATTATATTATTAAAACCAAGAAATTAATTACTTGAGGCTTAGTGGCCTACTAAGTTAGGCCAGGTTAGAAGGCCGTGTTTGGAAAGATCCATACTTTCACTCAAAGACATAGCTGTCCCTTGTGAGTGCTTCCCCAAACTCCATAGAAAGAAGAAGAAAATAATAACGAAGGCATTAAACCAGTGAACCACTTGCTGTCCCAAATTAAATTAAGCAGGCCCGTTATATATGCCAGTCTCTTGACTCGTTGGTATTCGCCATCGCTGGAACATCGCACAGTATATATCCTGTGATGACGCTGGTAAAGGTTCAAGCTACAGATTTCTTAAGTTTCAGAAGATCTTCCGTCTTTTCCAACAAAATCACAGTCATAATGGCGTTGAGACCTGACAATAATCTCGTACAGTCCATACCCAAGTCATTTATGTATCTGGCTTTAGTGTATTCAAATGTTTTTCTTATAAGTGTTATTAAACGCACGCCGGTCATTTATAGTTCTCTGCCTTGTTTATTGGCATCTCAGAGCCATACCTAGCCACCTCATCAACAATGTTTGGAAAAATAGTATATAGTCTCGTTGAGAGCGCCCACTGTTGCCAATGGGTCACGATATTTGCGTACCCCGTTCCATTTAGTAAAAAGACTGGCTGTCTTCACTATAGCATGAATCTCAGCATGCGAGACGTTGCAGTCGTTGGCAGATTAAAAGGTGCTAAAAGTTCCTTTCTCTATCTTTGAACCAGCGGTGTAGATGGGTATGCTATAGTCTGCCGCTGTTAGGCCTGAATATTATCCTAGTCAGAGAACGTATAAATGTTTGTGTTTTGGAGTACCATATTAGCATAACATCTGGCTTCTAAGCCCCCTTTTTGATTTCACTCAGTAATTTTGGGTGTCCGAAGTTGGTTGGTTTCCGTAGTTTGGTTATGAAACTTATACACCGGGCGCCCATAATGGTCAATAACATGAACAGGGGATTTTGCTTTATTCTTCGAAACTTAAATTAGCAACAGGTTTTCAGTGGCTATTTTCAAGCTACATTTTAACCGAGTTTAAAAAAAAGGAGTAGGTTATCAATTCGTCGGAATATTTTTTTTATGGATGTGTTACCGCATAACTTTGGACCGCGTAAACCGATGGGGAAAGGTGGTACCTTGGAGTCGGTCTCAGAAATTCTAACAAAGTCTAAGAAATTAATGGTACTCTTCAATATTTTACTCAAGAATTGAAGTCGGTTTTGTTTTTTTATAAAAATTACTTCTCAGCTTTAGATATTTTCTTTTTGGGACTATTTCCGTAATTTTCGTTCAAATAAATCGTATATATTGCCAAGTTTTGCTACTTATTTTTATTATTTAATTTTAATTATTTTTTTATAAAAACATAGTTCTCTCTATTACAAAACCATATAAATCCAAATTTGTAACTTTGTACAAAAATTAAAAAAAAATAAAAATTTTCAAAATTTCACATTTTCTATTCAGAAGTTTAGAACATTTTTGGGTATGCAGTTTTAAAGCCTAGGTACTCAATTCTAATTAAATAAAGTACAAGTTTTAGGCTACAAAATACCGTTAATTTTTGGCATTTTTTTTTAGATGGTGTCTATCTTTTTTCCATACGTAAAATGTTCGAAAATTTGTTTAATTTAGAGGAAAATGCATAACACCGCCAACAAAAAAATTTCAGAAAACTTTTCAAGAACGTCTCATTTCAGAATTTGGTGGAAGAATGCCCTGTTTAAGAATTTGATTGAAAAACGTTCTATCCCAACTGAAAATATATTGAAAATATGTTGAAAATGTGAATTGGCAGCTGAGATAGGACGTTTTGAACCAAATTCTGAAATAGTGCATTTTTAAAAAATTTTCCGAGATAGAACGTTTTTGAACTGGCTGCCGAGATAGGTTGATCTTTCACTCAGCCGTCTATATGTTCTTCAAATAATTTCTAATTCAACACATTTTCGATTCTTATTTCATTTTAGAATCCTCCATGGATGAACTCTCACAGGACTCCAGTGTGCATTGTATGCAAAGTGAAGTGTGACTGGAACATTTGAACCACCATTAAAGCGGACTCCAGTCTACGTATTTCGGTGGTATCGGAAACACGCATCTAATACACACGTAAAAGCGCGTGATTTGTTTATAAAAAAAATACAAATTAA